CCATAAGGCAAGCAGGCCTATAGGTACTTATTGGCTCCCAGGACTTGTACACAATGCTATACTGCTTGGCAACCATGCTGGGGTAGGCACGAACTGAGCACAGCAAACAGGTACTTGTAGTTGACAGACAGGCAGCATGGTTCAATGAAAGTCCAGGTACAAGGTAGGCAAGGTTCAGAGTAGTCCGGGTCCAATACGTAGTCAAAAGGCAGTCGGAGTTCAGAGAATAGTCAATATCTGATCAAAGGTCATCATAAACAGGGGAATCCAAACAGCAGAGCAGGACAGACAGACAGGGAGCTTGAGCACTATTACACACTCTATAAGCAGCATGAGACTGCAGGGTTGGCTGGCTTAAATCAGGTTTGGTCTCCATCCAGAGACTGGCTACATCAATCACCTTGCAGGTAGACAGACAAGGAGAATGCATCATAGCTAAAACCAGGATGCTGGAACGAAACCAGCAGCAGTGATGGAACAGGAACACTACACACTTTAATCACCTGCAAAATGGGAAACAAATCAGGTCTTCAGTTCTGGAGCAGTCCGTAAGCTTCTTCTTCCTTTTGAGCCATTATTTGGTGGATTTTCTAGAGTGTTTAAGATCATTATCTTCTTGAAAGACTCATTTCTGGTTCAACTTTTGTACTGCTGGCCTCAAATCATCATCAAGCACACTTTGATATGATGCAGAATGTAGAAGCAGTTGACTTAACGAGGTTGATTTACTAAAGGCAAATAGGTTGTTCACTTTGCAAGGGAATTTTCACTTAGCTTAGTGAATGCAGTGAAACAAATAGCAGTTTTTCTTGCACGTAATTGGGTGATGGAAGTCATTAAGTCTTTACCTCTTAAGCTAAAGGAAAATTCCTGTAGTAAAGGAAATGTCTCTATGCCACACAGACCCATGTAGAGGAGGTAAATGGCAGCCTAACCCTAGGTTCCAGTCAGGCCACGCCCCAGACATGTTTCCCTCTGCCCCTTGGAGGCTAGTCATGGGGATGGTGTCATGGTCGCCCGATCGCCACCCTCAACATGCGACAATCGCACGACCGTGACCAACAATAATACGTCACGCCCGAGGCGTCAGACCCCAGACCTTCTCACCAAACTCGTGACCAAAGGACCGGCCGATCTAAAACTGCGATGTGACGTGCGTAACATGGCCACACCCAGCTGCGCCCTGCACAACGATTGTCCAGCTAATGGAACGCAATCGACGCACCGGCAGCCTGAATGCGCTTGTTACTGGGTCGGGTTAATTAGGCAACTAACCCTTTACTGCCACCACCCCTTTTTGTACAGAGAAAGGGGAAAATCTCTTTATCCAATATACACTGTAATGGTTGAAAAGTCGCCTGTCCAATATGGTCACCGCAGGCCGATTGGGCAGAGGATTAAACAAACACAGTAGCGTTTCTTCAAAAGGCAGGAATTCGTGAATTGCAAGTAAGCGCTTAGAAACAGTTTGACTCTTTTAGTAATAAATCTTTCTTTCTGAAAGTGTTAAACAGGTGCAATAAAATATTTACAAAAAAAAGGAAACTAAGATATATATTTATATATAAAAAATAGGAAACAGCCCCAGCACAGCAAAGAGATAACAGGAAGTAGTTAAAAGGTTAAGTTACTTGCCATGTTAAGCCTTAAGGTAAGCAGATCCAAGTTTCAGAGCGGAAAGGGTCTTTGATCTCCTGCTGTTACGATGTTAAAATTAGAAGGTCTCTTTAGCTTCACTTTTTAGGCTTGCCAGCCTGTCTTTTAAAGTCCCCCTTGGGGGGGGGGTGGCTCTGAATACTGGCCAATACCCTGTTTTGGGCGGGATCCTCGGGTGGGCTCTGCATTAAAACTGACAGCTTCATAATCCATGATATGAAACATAGGTGACAGCTGACCTGAGGAATGTTCATTTACTTTCTGTCACCTGGCTGGTAGGGTTTATGAGGTTCCAACTTCTTTCAAGTCCAGGAAAAGAACTTAGATGGAGAGGCTCTGCCTCCATGGGGGGGCTTTGTAGCGCTGGGCCCCCTGCTGCTCCAGCCTGTGGGCAACTTTTAACACTTACACATCTGTCCCTGTGCCTCTCAGGAAGGGAGGGGGAAGGAGAATAAAGGATTGAGGCATACGTCTAACAAAAAAAGGGGAACGCCACATCCAACTCTGATGAGCAAGTTTGCTACAGATGGGAGTTCCAAGCAGGAGAGATTTTATAGCATCATCGGCTGTTATGCAATTAGGAACTAAGCAAGAAGATCACAAGAAGAAGCTGGTCACTAATGTTTCATCCTTTCCCAGATTTCCACATTTAAACTCAGGTGGCCAGGCCATTTTTCCCTTAAAGCTATCAGAGTTTTTGAAAGATCCCCCCCCCCCCCCCAATTTGGCACCTGCCAGTGACTGTCCATCTCTTAAAGTGACAGGAACTGGATTCCCTGTTCAGGGATACCTCCAAATTGCTGGGTGAAGAAGAAGAGTTCATCTAGGGTCTGGGATGGTAGATTATGGACGCTGACTAGCTCTCCAACAGAGACTGTGTTGCAGTGAATGCTTGTGAATAGTTCCATGCAGTTATCCTCAGTTCATCAGTTTCCCTTCCTGTACACCCCTAACCCTATCCCAGTTCAAATCCTCTAAATAAAATTACAAAACCAAAAGCTCAAGGACTGATTTCTGACTCTGGATGCAAGTCTTTGTGAAGATGCGTGTTGCCTGGATGTGCTGGACTATAGCGACTCCTAAGGGGGTAGTGCTACATGTGGGGGTTTGTCCGGGATTTTCCTATAGCAACCTGCCTGCCATTAATCCTAGCAACTAACAAGCATAGAAAGTAATATTGACTAGTGCTGTCATACATTGCAGCCATGCAGGCTTATTTAAAGGTCTCAGTGCTGCTCTATAGGTGACTGGTGAAAAGGACTATTTTCTATTCAACTGTTCCTGTCAGAACAATATGCTTTGCTGTAGCTATCACCCTTGCCCGGAGGAACCAGAACAGCCCATCAAGTTGCAAATGTCTTTTTGCTGCTCTACAGGTGGCCATAACAAAAGATTATGCCCTAAATGTACCTGCTATAATCAGCAAAGTGCCTGCCACTACGGCCATTCTGCTTGCCATTGTACGGAGCAACCAGAACAGCCCATCAGTGTTCTCAAGTCTTTTTGCTGCTCAACAGGTAGCTACAACAAGACTTTGTTCTGCCAAGCTCATTATTGCCTGCAAATATCAGTATTTACTACATGTCCATGCTTCTTGTTGTCCAGGGCAACCGGAATGGCCTGCTACCCAGTGGCTTACAAATGCCTGGCCACTTTAATTCTAGCTGGGTCCAGAGACTTTATTTGTTCACCAGGGGGGGGGGGGTGCTCTTAATAACCACTGCAGATCATCACTACAGTTCCTGCTAGCGCAGTCAGTTTGCTCCTGCCTGGAACATCAGGGGTTAACGCAAGCGTGGGAAGATTCCCGCCCGGCAGACTGGCTGGTGCCAAGGAGTCACGAGGAGGGTCGTGGCCACTGCCACATTCACTCCCATACGCCTGCCCTAAAAACTTCCCTCTACACCCAACATGTGGAGAGAGAGCAAGAGAGGAGAAAGATGGAGGGCCTATTACAAGTGTTCCTGAAAGTCTTCATGCCGGAGATCATTCTGGTGGACAGGGGCATCCGCCTGGGAAATTGTGGATGGTTTGACCTGGGACTGGTCAGAGGGCCTTTGCTTGATTTGCCCTGAGTGCAGGAGACCCACCTCCCTGGTCAAAGCCTTGGTCATGTGCGGGCACTATGAAATCCCACTCAATCAGCTCATGCCCGGAGATCTGGTGCCTTGCACATACGTTGTGTATCTGCTGATGGGGCTATGTACGGATAAGCCAGAGCATCAAAATCAGAAAGCTGGAGGTAGTTCGGTGCCTGGGCTACAGAACAGGTTTGAGTCCCGGGACTCCCCTGCACCTATGGCAGACCCTTGCAGCGGAGGAGGGTTGATGGAGGGCCAGTGCCCACAAGTGCTGCCCTGATAGAACCAGCCAATACCCTGGATCAGCCGGCCTTGCCCACCAGCCCTGACTGTTCTATTTGGAAGGAGCCTAGCTGCAAGGATGCCCAGTCCTCAGGTGAGCCAGCGGACAGTGTCAGTGGTGGGGGAATAGATTGGGAGTCACCCAGGCTATTGGCAGAGTTCGGGCCTTTAGAGATTGTGCAAGAGTGATGGTCTTCAGAGGAAACAAAGGAAGAATGGGACTGGGGGGCCCCACAGATGACTTGAATTCACTAACTGGACTGTCAGAGCAGCCCTATACCCTAGACTTTGCTGGGCACTCCTGCAGGTCTTAGCCTGTAGGGATACCCTCCTGAGCCCCACCACCTAAGGTCTCCGCACCATGGCGTAGGACCAAGGCCAAGCACACTGATCTGTGTCACGACCTAAGGTAGTGAGCTCTATAGATCCACAGCTTGGGGTTCCCCAGGGCATGGAATCTAAGCCCCAGCCTGCTTGTTCACCAGGGCCCCTGATGGTGGGGATGGACTTGCAGCAGGCTGGGACCAGGTCGTGGCCCCCAGGTACACCCAGCTGAGGTGGAGGAGACCGCTAGTGGGAGCAGGGTGAAAGGGAGAAGACACAGGGAATCCAATGGGCAATCCGAGATCAGGACAGGCGGAAAACTAGCAAGGTCAGGAACGAAGCTGGGGTTGGTACACAGATAGACAATACAGGATTCACAGAGAGACCACACGGGAGCTCCAACAACATGAAGATGCTCAGGCAGAATGGGACAGACTGAGCATGTCTTAAATAGACAAGCCAGCTAGGAGGAGGCCAAGGAAGTGATGAAAGGGAAGGACATAAAACCCAGGGAATAGCAGACGACGCCCACAGGTTAGCACAGACAAACACACATGTGAAGGAATCAAGAGCAGCAAGAAGGTAAGAAAAAACACACAAAGAGGCTGCAAGCTAACTTGTGACAGTACCCCCCCCCCCCCCCCCACGAGGTCTCCCCACTTTTTTAGGGCCAGGCTTAAGGGGAAACTTCTGATTAAAAAATTCCACCAGACGGGGTGCGGAAACATCAGTAGAAGGAATCCAACACCTCTCCTCAGGACCATATCCCTTCCAGTCAATTAGATACAAGAGCTTCCCTCTGATGAATTTAGAATCCAAGATTTGTTTGTCTTCACACTGATCCGAAGTACTTGCTATTGGGGAAGAATGATGATGAGGACGGGAAAATCTGTTGATGATATACGGTCTCAGGAGAGAAACATGGAAAACATTAGGGATTCTCAGATGTGAAGGAAGGCAGAGTTTTAAAGCAACAGGATTGAACTGGCAAAGGATGGTAAGGGGACCAATGAACGGAGGAACAAATTTCATAAAGGGTACCCGAAGACTGACACTCTTGGTAGAGAGCCAAACCTTGTCACCCGGGAAATATTTGGGACTCACCCGGTGATGACAATCTGCAGCTACTTTGTATTTAGAAGCTGACAGATGTAAGCTCTAGGAAAAATTTGCCTCAGAAGGAGTAAGAATAGGAGAACATATGATAGGAAACTGGGCTAGAGCAGACACCAATAACCAGGGCCCAGTAGGGTGTATGGGGGCAGGACAGGGGACAGAAGGCACTGTAGGGTGTAGGGGTGCAGGACAGGGGACAGAGGGTACAGTAGCTACTAATGTGGAAACCACAGCTGGGTCCAAAGCAGATGAAGGGAGTTTTGGGGTCTCAGCATGCAGGGCACATGAATCTGGGAACTCAGATGGTACAGAGGTCACAGATGTTGGGACCTCCACCCACCCAGAAGGTAGCGACATAGGAGCTCTGAGCTGCAACATATGTAAAGGGACCGAAGGTTTGGGCAGCAAAGAGGGTAAGGAACTAGAGGTGGACAGCACCAGAAGGGGGCCCGCAATAGAAGTAGGCCTTACTACAAGAAACATCTTGTAAAGTCTGGCAATGTTGAGGTTGCATCGGAGAGGTGGTGGCCTCAGCCACGGGTACAGTGTGAGGTGGGCGGACAGAACAAGACTTAATTAGATGACCTTCAGCCCCACAGTAAAGGCATAGACCAAATCTTAGGTGACGCGATCGCTCTTGTGGAGTAAGGTGTGTTCGGCCTAACTGCATGGGCTCTTCAGACATCGGTACAGTTGCAGAGGTAAGTTGATCAGGGACTTTCTGGAAAACAGGAGCAAAAGAACCCACTGGAGGGCGACGTGTATGAACCATTTCCAAATCTTACTCTTGGAAGCGGATTTCGATCTGGATGCTAAGAGCAATCAAGTCATCCAGGGAGGTGGGTATGATTCTTCCAGCTAGTTCGTCCTTAATACGGTCTGCTAGACCCTGCCAGAAGGTTGCAGAGAGTGCCTTATTATTCCATGCCAATTCCGAGGCTAAGGTGCAAAACAGAACTGCATATTGTCCAACAGTCCTGCTACCTTGACAAAGCCGAAGAAGAGCTCCTGCGGCAGATGAAGTCCTGCCGGGCACATCGAATGTCTTACAGAATGATGGAAAACCCTTACAACACACTCAAAATTACTTATCCAGCAGATTAAACATTAGTCACGGTCTTCTCTCTTCTCCTTGTGATCTTCTTGTTTAGTTCCTAATGACGATTCTATAAAATCTCTCCTCCCTACTGCTTCGAACTCTCATCCCTATGAATAAGCTCTGAGGGGTGGAGCAAAAATGTGTTGGGGGTGTGACCTGGCTGGAACCCAGGCTGGGGCTGTCATTCACCTTCACCATTCTACACAGGTCTGTTCATGTGCAGCCTCAGGGACACTTCCTTTGCTACACTAAGTTTGGAGCGTAGACGCGCTCCATTCCTGGTCAGCACTCAGCGGTTGGTTCACGGACAAGTACCTCTAGCCTGGGCAGTACACATTATTTGCATAAGGAAAATTCCCTTGCAAAATGAACAGCCTATTTGATTTTAGTAAATTAACCTGAATGACTGTGAGCTGCCCAGGCTCTGGGGAAGTAACGCAACCCCAAACCATAACATTTCCACCACTATGCTTCCCAGTTGTTATGAAGATCTTCTCTTCAAATTCTGTCTTCGGTCAAACATCTATACAATTACTGTGACCAAACAACTCTATCTTTGATTCATTAGTCTTCAGCACACTACTCCAAAAAGCATGGTCTTTGTCTATATGTTAAATTACAAACTGTAATCTTGCTCTAACTTTTTTTTGGACAGCAAATGCTTTTTCTTAACAGCTTTCATGCAGGTTGAATTGGTGCCATCTCTTTCTAAATATAGACGCATGCACTTTAATCCCAACTTTTGCAAGGGTTATCTGAACACTTCGTGTTGAAATGTTGGTGTGTTTAGAGAATTCCTTTAGCATCAAATTGGTCAGCTCTTGGGCTGAATTTGCTGGGCTGGCCATTCCTGGATGAATTAGCAGTTTAAAATCTACACCATTTGTAGACTATTTCCCATACAGTGGAACAATTGATTTCAAATTAATCTTTTTAAATCCCTTGCCAAGCTCATAGGCACCCACAACTTTCTTTCTGAGGGCCTAAGAGAGCTCTGTATCTTAGTAGTATGATACCACACACATGTACATCTCACATATGTAAAGAGCACAGGGAACACCAGACTCTATATAATCGGAGTTTTAAATAAGAAGGGTTCCACCTGCATATTCCATAAGGAAGTTTTAGTCATTGGCACCTAACTTCTAACACTGGATTTTAATTGGGTGGATTTGCAGTGGAGGTAAATGTAGAATGCATTTTTGTAAGTTCATGAAAATGAATAAAATATGGGTTTTTAAAACAATGCAATTATATAAATGTCTAAATAGTAAATGGCAAGTGCTATATGTATCAAGAAGCAGCTAGCACAAGAGATAGTGACAATAAATCGCAAAATGACATATGTGCATAAAGTGCAGTGCTAAAAAATTATATTACAAATTAGTGCAAAACAAATGCAAACATATAATCCGGTGAAATGACGAATAAATGTAGTCCGTCCAGTGTGAAAACTGTATCAGTGATACTGCAAGACACAACAGCAAAGTGTCCAATTCCACACAGTGCTTGAGGATCCAGTAAACACTCCGCCACCACTACATACTCACCAGAACACTACTGGTATAGTAGCAGTAATCGACAGTCAATCAAATTCACTATTCAGAGACCTTAGCCCGAAAGACTTCCTAGAGAAGAAGCTCACCACACAGAGCCCAGAAAGCGATTCATAGTGTAGTATTTATTAAAAGGCAAATAAAAACATTCCACGTGGAAGAAATGTAAACATGCATATAATCACTTATCAAAATGGCCACCATTCCAGATTGCAGACACGGCGGCGTGACATCAGCACGTAGGCTCCACCAACGTGTTTCGTGCACATGCACGTCTTCAGGGGTATGCCTATTCATTTTACTTTATTCTGGTGGCATACAGATCCAAAAGTATGAAAATTGTGCCTGTGTTCAGGAATATATGGACCTAACTGTATATGAGCTGGTGGATGTCAGGAACACAGTAGCAACCAAGAAACCCGTTTATTGCAGAGTATACAGTGTTTTGGGTGCCCAGAGCAGATCAGCGCTGTCATGCAGACCCCTGGAGGTGCCCACCATTGCATACGTAAGGCTAATTAAATGTATACCAAGTTAAACAAATCTGACAGCATTATAAAATATAATGTGGTAACAATGCAAGACAGCATAATATACAAAAAAAGACATGCAGATGAATTACTGTTTATTATTACTTACCCCATCTGACTGATCACTTGTCCTTTGGAATGCCCACGTAAAAGTGGTATTAACATTCCTCTCTACACGATATGAATAGGACTGTTTTTCTCTAGAACCTGTCCAGCTTTCTACCAATGAGCTCATGTCTGAATTTACAGCCTGAAAATAATCACACACAAAAAGTTCAATTAAGACAACTGTATAGGTAAATATTAGAAATTTAACATTTAGTAAATGACCAATTTGAACATGCACGTAATCAGGACTGAATTATTTCAGATTTTATTGAGGTTTATCTTGCGTAAAACATAACCTTCTTTATTCACAAGCCCTCCCAGACTTTCCTTTGGCTGTTTTGTATTGAATGAGGAGGAGACTGAAGGAAGTCACCCCAGCTCAACATGAGCTGCTAGATTTTGAAGTCTAACTCAGATAGCCACCTCCAAAGAGAAACAGTCTGAAAGTAAACAGCTTTAGCTGCAGTCTGACTGTAAATGCATAATGCTCAGTGTATTCTGTGTCATGGGTGTATTACATGCTTAATTAATGAATCAAAGATTTTTTTAAAATTAGGAAAAAACCAGACCAAAGTTTATATACAGATGAAAAAGAAAGCAATAATGTATTCTTAGCTTGTGACTAAATACACTCCTACTTACCACCATGAAAAAGAGCTGGCATCTGACAGCACATTTAAGATCAAACACAAATGTAATATGAGCCACTTTGTTATTGCCGTCATCTGTTACACTGCTGGGACAAAAAGGGAAAGCAATTAGACATTTAGACAATTAAATATTAAGCTGCTATGTTCACAAATTGCTTGGATTATTACCTGAAGCCAGGTATGTTCAATCTAAGTACCATGTAATCATTATCTGAAGATGCAGCAGAAGTGTAAATATAATCTCCAGCAACTTCCCACCCTGCAAAACAGTTAATGAAAATAGAAAACAGACTTTTAAAGTGTTTTTTTTAGCACAATAATCTTGTAGAAAGGCACTCTTATTTTATGAGAAGTTTAAATTAAAATTAGAAAAAAGCCTCAGCAATAAGTGGTTACAAAAAAGGGTAAAGGCTGGCCATACCCTAGAACATTCATACAAATATTTTCATCAGTACATTCGATGATATGAGGAATGTTGTTTGAAAGTACTTTAACCACTCTGGAAGGTTTTACCCAGTTCCTGACCAGGGCATATTTTTGCTATTCGGCACGGAGCTTCCTTAACTGGTAATTGCATGGTCATGCAACACTGCACCCAAACAAAATGTATATAATTTTCACAGAAACAGATTTCTTTTGGTGGTATTTGATCACCACTGGGTTTTTTAATTTTTTTTGCAATATATATGAAAAAATTCCAAAAAGTTTGAAAAAAAAAAAAACCAATATATTCTACTTTATCAAAAATATCCAATAAACTAAAATTTTGCCATGAATGTTGGCCAAAATGTATTCTGCTACATGTCATTAGTAAAAAAAAAAAAAATCCCAATAAGTGTATATTAACTGGTTTGTGTGAAAGTTATAGCGTCTATAACTGGAATACTGGAATTTACGCAGCTTTTACTTTGATTGCCCATCACATTTCTTGAGGTGCCAAAATGCCAGGGCAGTACAAACAACCCTCAAATAACCAATTTTCAGAAACTATACACCTTAAACTGTATGCTGAGAGGCATGTTAAATAAATGGGAGATTGAATGTTTTTGAAAATTACAATTAAAAAAAAAAAAAGTATTTTGTATTTTACACAAAGTTGTCACAAAAATATATACTATCCACACAGGCCATGGGTATATGTGGAATTACACCCCAAAACACATTCTGCTACTTCTCCCAAGTATGAGGATACCACATGGAGACTTTTTGGGAACTTACATACAAGAGCCCAAAATCCAATGACCTTTTGAGGTGCGCCATTTTCCTCATTTCACTTCCTCACCGCTTGTCACAGTTTCAGAGGCTCTGAAATGCCAGGATAGCAACCCCCCCCAAACCCCTTTTTGGAAAAGTAGACACCCCAAAGTATTTTTCAGAGCTAATTTTTTGTCACAAGGTTTTGAAAAAGAAAAAAAGAAAAAAAAAAAAAGAAAAAAGAAAT